AATACGCGAAAGATAATAGAATGGGAATGGGTTGATCCGAATTGGTGGTTTGATTCTGGGGGTGCCGTTGATAAAGAGGGTTGGGAATATTTCGATAATCGATGGAATAATCCATCTTCTAAAAGTGCATTCAGAAGATATACTCGTAGGAGAAAATGGGCTAGAACTGCTAGAATGATAGAAACGATTCAGAAAATTGAGAGTCCTCTTAATTCAACATCCGAACCGGATGAGAAAGTCGATCGGAGTGAAAATACTAATGATTCAAGTGTCGATAACAAACTTTCATCAAACAACCACAAAGATGAGGAATCAAGTACAACAGATCAATAAGCTAAATTTGGTTATGTTAAACTAAAATCTGTATCAAACAAAAAAAATAATAACTATAATGAAGCTTTTATTAAAATATGTATAAAACAATAAACTTGTATTATGCGTACCTTATAATTTGTATAATAATTAATATACAGTATGGGAGCAGCAAGTCCCAACAACTTTTAAATAAAAAGTGGCCAAATTTTATACATGCCATTATAAAAACAAACAATATAATTGGATAATATGATATTAGATTAAAATTTTTTTTTTATTAATACGTAGCCAAGCTTTATTTATATATAAACTTAGATAGTTAAACTTATATAACTAAATATATATGTTATAATATATATACAGTATAATTAAAAAAAACCCCAATTTAGCCATTAATGAAAAATAAATATTCGAATATTCATTGAATATTAATAATTATAAAATAAAAGTATTAATTCAAAACAAATAATAAATTAAACCTTTATTACAGTATATATATATATAAATTGATTGCTAATTTTAAATATATAAGCTAACAAATAATTTTTGCCATATAACTTTTATATTAAAATAAATAAATAAACTATATAATTTGTTTTTTAGCTAATAATTAATCAATCAAAATACAAATTATATATATTAATATTTTATTCTGTATTCTAATTGGTCAATCAAATAGTATATATTCATTGAATATTCATTTAGTGAAACAACTATACATTCGAATATTCGAATATTCAATGAATATACGTATTCGAATATACTATTCATCGAGCTAGACCTCTATACGCATGTATTTTTTGGTTTTTTTTTTTTAATTGAATTATTAGTTATATAATTGTGTTAATTGTTTTTGAAAAAGCCAATTTTAGATATCGGATTACGCTCTAAATCATATACTGTATCCTACGTTTTTTTTCTTCACTGGTAAATCAAAAAATTTGACAAATAGAATGGCACCATTCAACATGTCATTCAATACGCCATTCAACCAAATACGTTGATTGTTGGTTGAATGGTATGTTGAATGGCATGTCGAAATGGTGTCATATCAACACGTTGAATTTTTAATTGCCTAGTGCTTTTTAACAAAATTGTATAAATATATATAACGATAAACTATACAAATATGTATAAGTTATAC